TTACCGTAATATTTTGCTGAACTTCAATGCTACTTTTTAGTCCTCAAACTGAGGCACCTTTTTTCCGCATTTGGTGCAGGTAAAAATAGCGTGTAACGTGTATGACTTCTTTTTGTATTCATCTCTTTTGATGATTTTTGAGGACTTACGGGGGAGGGTGCTGAAAAGTTCATAGGATGATTATGAAAGAATAATGCTAAAGCTGAGAAATCTTGCATGCATGAATTTCATCTCTTCTTGTAAGTGAATAGTTTATTTCCAAGTAAACTGATATCTAACCATTCAAAGAAGACTTCAGAATTAACTGGTAGCGACTACTCTTGAAAATGGACAAAAATTGGCATCATGGTGTTGTGGCAGAGAGCAATGGGGATCCTTGAAATATTAATAATTATAGTAATACAGAATTTTGTTTATAGATGAGAAAAATAATCTGTGGTGAAGCTTATGCCCGGAGAATCTGTGCTTCGTCAGAATTATTAATATAAAATGTTAAAACAATAGTGTTTATATGAACTATAGAATACCAATTAGGAAGAAGAGACTGTTCATTTAATCATGAAGGGGAAAGGTCAGTAATCAGGTTGTATTCCAAGTTTACCAACACCCCTGGTTTTTGTCGTTACCACCGCGTTTATTTAACCGCGTGTTTGTGCGAAAACAAACAGTCGAAGTCGAAGTTGAAGTTGGAGTTGGGTGAACTGAGTTGATAGTCAGTCAACCAGAGAGAGAGAGAGAGAGAGAGAGAGAGAGAGAGAGAGAGAGAGAGAGAGAGAGGAGAGAGATAGGCAGTGAGAGTGAAAGGGAGGAAGTTATCTGCAATATTGGCGCAATACTGGTAATTTCAAAAATGACATTAAAACATTGCACTCGATTACCGTTTAGAAGTTATGGACAATGTAAGTTCGACTTCTTTCTCGTCGCGTGCACAGAACGTCCGCCATTACTGGCTCTGTTTACATACGCTTTCTGAGCGGAAGCTTCACTTGTCTTGATTACTGCGCAATGCGCGAACTTTGAAATGAGTGCGCGAAATAATGCATGAAAAAACGTAAAATCCAACAATTAAAATAAAATAAAAATTACGTACCTGAAAACTAAAAAAAAAGGATTTTTGCCTTTTTTTCAACGATGTTTTTTTTATGTGTCGTGAATGTTTTTTGAATTTAAAGCTTCATAAATTACATTTTTGGGTGAGATTCTGTTTCATTAGCTATAAGCAGATTTATTAAGGACAATAAAGAAAAGATACTATTCATTTAAAACTTCATTTTAAAAAATGAGTCCAACTTAAAACAACATCTACGTAAATCGCGCAGTAATCAAAACCAGTAAGATACGAAAAGCCGTAAAAAGATCGTTAACTAAGTAAGCTTCCGCGCATGATTACTAGAGGAAAAACGTATGTAAACAAGGCCAGTAATGGCGGTCGGACAACACGAAAAAGATCGAAATTACATTGACGATTAATCGAAAACGGTAATCAAGCGCAATGTTTTAATGTCATTTTCGAAATAACCAGTCAATTTCACACCAGAATGCTACATTCACAATACCGGAGGCTTTTGGTGCTTAAACTGCAAATTAAACTAAAAGTCTACATCTAACGAGGCTATTTAAAAATACGTCTCGAGTTTTCGGGTAATTCTTTTGGTTTTGTAGCAATTTGCGGTGTTGTGTGAAACTATCTCAAGCTCAGCTTCTTCTATGTTCAATTTCCTTATCTCTTTTATACTAAATTTATTATAACTGATCCATACATCGAGGTATTTTGAAATGTTTGGTGTTTAATAATAGCGCATCCCGAATTTTTATGATGTATTCAGGATAGGTGCCATCACTGCTAAGCATGCTGGTAGATTTAAAAGATAAAACTGCAGATATTAGATATCACATTTTGGCATAATGTTTGCACACAGACACGTGGATAGACAATCAGCTTGGTATACATTTAATTAATTTTCTGGCTCTCTGGCGAATGCACACAAACTTTGTGCGAGCATTGATGCAGTTTGCCTGCGTGTGTGCATAGATTTCAATCTTTGCGCGTCTGAGATACAGTGGGAGTGGATTGGCCAAGCGTGACTGCACCCCCCCCCCAGTCTAACAAAAATCAAAAATCAATGAAAAAGCGTCAGTGGGTAGGAGGTGATTGTCAACGGGATCACAGATGTCCCATAAATATCTCATTCACTCTGTCACCGGGTAAAAATAAAAAAATAAAAATAAATTAAAAAAAAAAAAAAGAAAGTAGTAGTGGCACTTGCGTCGGCTTCTTTACAGGTCGGCGACACGTGTCGACAATCAGTGGCACGTGGCCATTTCACGCAGACACTACCCATCAACCTCGCATACACAGAAGCACTCTACGCACCTGCACGTGAAAATTTAGACACATATACACAAATGAAAGTGAGAAACATCAGAGCAAGGGCGTAAGATTAACACACACACGCACGTGCACACACACACACACACACAGACACACACACGCGCGCGCACACACACCCACGCACACATTCCAATGACAATGTTAAAGTCTTCTCGAAAAATATTAATTACAAATTTAAAAAGATTTTTCTTAATTTCACTACAAACAAAATTTTTGAGCATTTCACCCCCAAGTAAGGCGGGAGTGTCACTAGCACACAAGGGGTTAAAGAGAGTGAGGGCAAGAGTATAGAGGCGTGTCTGACGAAAGGATATAGAAAAAGACGGGGATCAGGATCAAGACATCAAAAGATGTCGATTGACATTACATTTGAATATTAGAAGATTATAGCTATCAGGGAAGCAAGTAAGAGATAGGGAGTTCCACAGACGGGAAGTGCGAGATAAGAAGCTGTTGGAGTAGAAGAAACGGCTACATTTAACCGTTTCGACAGTGAAAGGGTAGAGCCGAGATGGCAACCTAGTAGCACGCTTAAATTCATGCAGCTTGGAAATATTTGTAGAAAAGACAGAGGGAAGCCACGGCACATCTGTGAAAAAATGACTGTAGATGAGATGCCAGGTTGGGATCCATCACATACCTTCAATTTTCATATTGCTAAGAAAAAAACATCACTTTTAATTAAGGTTGAATTAAACGGTTACGAATATGGCGACAAATATGAGGACAGTAGTCCGAATAATGTAAATAGTGTACATAATACCTCATCTCAGAAATATAGACAGATACTGAAAGTCCGAAACGTTGTGATAAATATGGCGACAAAAGTGAGGACAATAGTCCGAATAATGTAAATATTGTCCATAATACCTCATCTCAGAAATAGAGACAGATACTGAAGGGCTGAAACGTTGTCATAAATATGGCAACAAAGATGAAGACATAGTCCGAACAATGTAAATAGTGTACATAATACCTCATCTCAGAAATAGAGACAGATACTGAAGGGCTGAAACGTTGTCATAAATATGGCAACAAAGATGAAGACAATAGTCCGAACAATGTAAATAGTGTACATAATACCTCATCTCAGAAATAGAGACAGATACTGAAGGGCCGAAACATTGTAATAAATATGGCAACAAAGATGAAGACAATAGTCCGAACAATGTAAATAGTGTACATAATACCTCATCTCAGAAATAGAGACAGATACTGAAGGGCCGAAACATTGTAATAAATATGGCAACAAAGATGAGGACAATAGTCCGAACAATGTAAATAGTGAACATAATATCTCATCTCAGAAATATAGACAGATACTGAAAAACAGTTATTTAATCTTTATACGATCTGAGTACGTAAATATATATATATATATATATATATATATATATATATATATATATATATATAAAAGTCATTTTAAATTGTATCTTAATAACATGCGTAGCTTACACCAAGTCAGTAAGAGTCAAAAGTCAATTTGGATGATACTTACCGGAAATGACAAAAACAGAAATTCGTGTTGAAAGTCTCTAAGTATGGTGGCCCATAATAAAACATCTTTTAATTTTGTAAACTAATTATTTTTTCTGTTATTTTTTGTTTTTTGATCATGAAGATTATTTTTAAAAAAATAAACAATCATTACTTTAAAAAAATATTTCTGGAAAACTTGTTTATTTTTTTATTTTTATTTTTAACCAATTCACTCCCAAGTAAGGCGATAATACCTCTAAGACGCAAAGGAATACTGAGGGTGAAAGAAAACGAGAAAACCGTTAGAAAGAACCGGAAATCCAATCCTAAACAGGAAATAGGATTATGAAGAATGTACGAAGGGTTTGTGGGGGATTTATAACTCTGAATAAATAATTATAACCCCCCCCTATCATTATTTAAAAATACTTGTAGAAAATAAGGAAGCAAATAAAGAATCTAAAAAATAGTGTTTAATATTTTTGTTATAAATTCTCAAGAAAAAATGTAAAAATTCACTTTCATCATATGCTTTATTGCAATTCTAATCATCACTTTTTAAAAGAATAAACGTTGTCGAAGAGTGAAGGTAGTTAAAATAATGGCAGTGTCAATGGAAAAACTTTTTTTTTGTTTTGACACTCAGGTATTTTGCGGGCACGAAGATTCAAGTTTGCCAATTTTAATGAAACAATCTATTTACTGTTTTGTTTGACTATCTACTGCCGTCTTTCAGACAACTTCATAATTCCACCCTTCCAGATCATTTTATCTCTCTCGACAGAGAATTGCTCTAGTTGCCTTTTGCAGTCTTCCAAGAGACTGGTAATTTTCTTTAAAGATCAGAATAAATGATAAATGAAATATTTGCTGATATTACGCCCTTTGTCTTTAACTAAATCGAAGTGATTTTTCGCTTTCAATAGTTTGCGCCTCTGCGAGAAGCTCATAGTAGATGAAGCCCTTCCATTATCAGCTATTACCCAGCACAATATTCTTTGAATGAAAACTTGGCTTTGTTACAGTTACCGGTGATTCATTTATTTATTTCCACGCCTTTTTTTTTTTGTATGTAATGTCGTTGTAAAGTAATCACTCTTCATTGCTTTTAACAGTTTCGGTTTATAGCCATATCACGCTGAAACACCGGTTCTTGTACGATCACTGAAGTTAAGCAACTTCGAGCCTGATCAGTACTTAGAGAGATGACCATTTGGGAATAACAGATACTGTAATGGATGTGCGGGTGGTGTAATAAATAACGATTCGGAATTGGAAATCGGATAGCTGAGTTTCAATCCCAGTTGAGTTCGTTATATTCAGGTATTCATTTACGCGCAAATACCCCAGGTATGATAGCCGCCTCTTCACCCTCAGCTATGGATTAATTAGTAGTTCTTTTATCAATAAATTATTATTTATCTCCATAAAATTTTTACAATTTAAAAATATTTATGGCCCTAAAAATCCTGAGAAAGCCGTAAAAAAATCTATGAATTATCAGTTTATTTCGAAAATTGAACTTTTAAACGAGTTCAGGATTTTTCTCTATATGGAAGCCACACATCAAAGTGACTAACATAATCAAGCTGATACAAATGATTTTCATTGTTTGATTTGGATGCTTTGAATATATCAGTTATTTACAGCGTGTTTATTCTCTAGTGATGTTTTTATTTGATCATTAACAGTTGCAGTTAGTAGACCTGACCGTGGAGCATAGGAGAGCTTCCCAAACCACTTTTGACATGTTCGATTCTTCACAGAATTTCCTGCATAAACGACCCAAAGAGAGATGTACTAATAAGGTAATTTACTGAGTGATTTGACCAAGTGGTGGAACAAAGCTAAGGGTGAAGTGGGTACATGCCTATCTTAAAGGTTTGATTGAACACACACCCGCACACGCACACACACATACACACACACTTGCACTTTACCCACGCATACCCACCTATAATGGATGGCTACTTGTTTCAGAACATAGCCATCTGCTAGAAAGGCTAATTAATCCCTGTTGCTGACGCCTGTCCAGGCACATTTTCATCCCTTCAATACTAGCAGGGACAGACTGAGGGGTCATTAGTTACAGTTTCTGGGAGAAAGTGCATAAATGATTGTAATTTGTAATTAAATAAGGCCAGTACGCGTAAACCCTCGGTCACGATGACTTATGACGTCGTGCTAGCACTACAATCAACAACTTCTGAAAACTTTCACCTAGAAAGTTTCACTCTAAAGTAGGTACCTTCACTTTTTCGCTGAAAAAACAAACAAACAAAAAACAAACAAAACAGCGTAGCATGAAGAAAAAAAGGCCCCAACAGTTTTATTGTCAAAATGTTTATGTCATTATTAAAAGGAAAGACCAAAGTATTTTTATTATTTTATTAAATGTTTTAATCCTTTCTAGCATGTTCAAAATTTTGATTAAATATCTTGTTTTCTTTTTTTTTTGCGTCAGCGTTCGACGTAATATTTATGATTAGTGTTTTTGCGTATTTTCCGGTGAAAAACACATTGATTTGGAAATTCTGGAAAAATCAAATAATTGTCGGATTTTAATGAAACTTTCAGGACTTATTCACAAATGAATGAAATTATTTTTTTAAATTTTCTTTTTAGAAAAACTTCGTTTCTTTTTTTACGTATATTTCTTAATTTCATGAAATTTAGAGAAATTAAATTTCAATTTCAAAAAGTAGGACCCCTTGGAGAATTTAAATCATCAGTTTTTTTGTAAAACAGGACACACAGTTACCGAAAATCTGCTCTGAATTGTAAAATAAAAAAAAATCAATAAAACTATGACATTATTTATAATATTAATAGTAAAATTTAAAATAGTATAAAAAAATTAATAAATAAAATAACTTTAACATTTTATAACCATCATGATAATTAATATAAAAAATAAAAATAAAAAAATAAGTAAGCTATTAAAACATATAAATTAATAATAAATAAAATACCATAAAATTTAGTAAATTATTGAGTTACCGCTATCACGGTATTTCATTAATACCACAGTTATCAATTTTTTCAATTAATTTAAGATAATTTTATAGTATTTTAAATTTTATTATTTTTTTCGGAAAGCATCAAACGTAAGACTATAAAGCTAAAGTAACTAAAATTCAATAAAATATTAGATAATTGCTGAAAATATGTTAATTTTAAAAATTACTATGTAGTTAAAAACAAAAAAGGTTCACTTAGATTTCGTAAATTTATGTCAATTCTGATCGACCATACTTAGCTTTCAAGACGTCAGGCTGTCAATAAATCAACCAGCACGTCAGAAATGCAAAACCCTGTGGTTAAGAAATGCTTGTATACTATGTTTTATATGCAATAAGTAAGTAATATTTGTGTCAAATCAGATTAATTTAACTTTAAGTTTGCTTTCTTCAAATAACGTTTCACAAATATATATATTGGCAATCGTATCCGGTAAATTGCTCGTAATCAATTGCTCGACAGTAAATTGCTCGGAATCAATTGCTCGGAAAATAATTTCTCGAATTATCAGTTGCTCGAAAGGCAGATTGCTCGAAACCTGTGGTTAAAAAAAATAAAACTACATTGTTTCTAATATTTACTATAAGAAAAAATAATACAACTTTATTGTTGTTAACTGAACAGTTAACATTGAAGAACGAGTACATTTATATAGCAGGTCTTATTTTTTTTCTCGAAAGGCAGTTTGATCGAAATCTGTGGTTAAAAAAACCCCCCAAAAAACATGTGCTAAGCATTTCCTTTTTTTGCACATTTCACATTTCCAGTAAATCTTATTGTTCACTGTTTTGTCCTTAATATATATCTATCCATCCAAACACAACAACTTCTTTCCTTTTTCGCTCTCAACAAAAGTTATGTCTATCATCAGGGTTCGAGATCTCCAAAATTACTGAAATGGAAAACAAATATAGAAAAAAAAATCAGGACTGCTAAAGTTAAGTGTTGTGGCTCCTTTTATATTCAGCTCCGTTGACGTGTCGTGAGACGGCGCAGTTTATGTGGTGCTTCGAGCTTCGAAATTAATTCAAGCAATCTGTTTCTTGAACAATTGATAGTACGAGAAATGATGTTTCGAGCAATTGATTTCGATCAATTTCCCTAGATCCATTGGCAATCATGACTCTCCACAACTTACTATCTTTTGCAACTCTTAGTGTGTTTTGTCTTTTCACCATCATTCCGCGTCCTTGTTTTGCACAAGATTGGGTTAATCGCTGCTTCGGCACCCTCTACCTTCAATATATCCTGTGAGTGCCAAATTCTTCAAACCTTATTTCCTCATTATGTGTCCAAGAAAATTCATTTACTTCTTTTCGATTCTAAATATTTGTCTGTTTTTTTTTTTATTTTCCCAAAAACTTACTCATTACTCATATGTCCAGTCCATTCTCACCATCCTTCTGTAGAACCACATTTATTTTGCTTAGTCTTCTTTTCTTCTGTAAGGATGTTCGTAATGGGCAAACTGATATTAAATAACCGTTCACCAAGCGTTTATATGTTTCCAACGAATTTTTCCTGTTTCATAATACTTTGCTTAACATTTTGAAGGCATATTTCGCTATTTGAATGTGTGAATATATTTTAGTGTCACATTTTCCACCGTCAGATAAAAACGACTTCCAGGTATTTAAAGTTTTGGATTTTCTTGATTTTGGTATCTTCAATTGGTAGCTATTAAATTGGGATGTTCCTCTTGCTGACAACCAAACATTCTATCTTACAAATAATTTTTCTCCTTTTTTCTTACATTCCTTTACAATTTTGTTTAGGAGTTCCTGCAGCTTCTTTTCAGTATCTGCTATTAATACTGTGTCATTTGTATATCTATATCTGTATATATATATATATATATATATATATATATATATATATATATATATATGTACCTACTTGTATATGTTTTTTGTGTGTATTAGTATGTGTTTTTTGAACATAGAAATATTTGGTCCTTGCGAAATGAGACAATCGTTATATTCATCTTCATATATTTATATTTGATTTAATTTTCCCAATTACAAAGCGGCCCTTTAAGTAAACACAATTTTATTTTCCTTCGTCCCATCCCTCTCCCCCACACTTTCCCTTTTTTTTTTTTTTTTTTTTTTTTCCTATCTGAATTGTCTGTGGTGTGTATATGTCACCACGAAATGTATCTTTATGTATTAGACATCCGTCGACTTTCTTTTCTCTCCTCTTTTTTTAATCCACCCCACCCACATCTCCAAAAATTCTCTCTGTTAAGGTTTCATGTCACTCATCCTCATACTTACACTTTCTAAATTCTGTTTTGATTTCCGAGTTGTTTTTTCTGTTTTCATTTTTGAATTTGTAGGTCTGATGATTTGGATCGTATTTACGATTCCAATGGAATAAATTATGACCATGGAATATTAGTGTTTAAGCCTTTTTATTATATCCTTACTCTGTCCTAGACATTGAGTTCTACCTGGATCCTTCCTCTTGGAAAATTTTTTCTGAAAATATACATGTATGGGAATTTTTTAGATATATTTTTCATATGTATGTATATTTTCCACTAATATTATCTATATATATATATATATATATATTGAACAATAAAAAAATAAAAAATAAAAATCTTCAGACACACTGGGTTGTAGATTAATATTCTTTCGTTTTTTTATTATTATTATTTCATTTAGATTCCTCGACTAGTTTCGGCCAAAATGGCCATCATCGGGAGAAGACATATTTCTGCTTACTGGTAGCAGTAAACTACAGAAATGAATGTCTTGCTGGAGAAAATGAACTTTTGTCTGTAGTTTTCATTTGTTTTTTATTTTTTTATCTTTTTAACATGAATCTTTTAACATTCCTTGTGTTGGTCAAACAGTCTCTTTTAAGTTGTTATTTGAGATAAGAGCTGGGTGGATCTATGCTTCTCTGAATTCCCGTGGTCATTTTGACAGTTTTATTGTCCTGGAGAGGGGATGTGTCTCTGTTTAGTGTTTGTTATTTGGTTCTTAGGGAGTGAGTGAGTATGATATGTGTAAGCGTGTGTATTGCTGTGAGAGTGTGTTATTATTTGACTCATTAGGGAGTGAGTGAGTATGATGTGTGTAAGTGTGTATATTCGTGTAGGTGGGTGTATATAAGTGTGAGGCCTCAACACCTCCGTAAGCATGTCTGTCTTGTGTGGGTGAGAAATGTGGGTAGGTTTTGATTTGTTGAGTTATATATTGGTACTATCTATATTGTTAAATTTATGGTTTAGCCCGGCTGGATGTTGTGTTTTTAGACGTTGTATCCACTTATTTTCATGGGACTCTAAAATCTTTCTAATGTTATCTGCTCTGAACTTTTCTATTCTCTCAATTATAGTGAATTTGGCATGGGTTTTGAAATCGTGTTTTTCCAGGCGGAAATGTTGTTCTACAGGTAATAATTTTTCATGGGGAGTCGACTTAATTCGATTGCGATAATTATTAATTCTGTAGTGAAAGAGCCATTCAGATTTTCCTACATATTGTTTCTGGCATAGTGTGCATTCTAGGAGGTAAATTATGTTATGACTTCTACAGTTAGAATCGTGGTAGATTTTGAAAGTAGAGTTAGTGATTGAGCTAGTGAATGAATTCGTGTGTTTAATATGGTTGCAACATAAACTTCTTTTTGTTGTTACATGGTTGGGAAAAATCCTGTTGTTTTGTTCTTAGTTTATTACGGATTACCTTGTCCCCTGAAATGTGGTTACTACCTATGATTTCTTTTAGGTTCTTAGGTCTACGATATGCAAGAAGGCCGGGTTCCTTAAACAATTATATATATATATATATATATATATATATATATATATATATAGCAGGCCTCGCCCTCTCGCTATCGCTTTGCAAAGTAAGATATATTCGCTACTTGAAATCTTTGAAACAAAAATTTTAAATGAACAATTCATTCATAAATTGGCTCGTTATAGTTAAGGAAAGTTTTACAAATAGATGCCAACTTGTTGAAGGCCAAGTAAAATGCAAATTTCAAACACTTTTCTGCACTATATAAGACGATATTCCTAAACAGGACTTTGATATGAAAATCAAAACAATCCTCGAATAAAAGAACAGTAATGAAGGACAGTTAATTAATGAAATAAATTTTTTTTAAAATCAATATGCAAATTAGTTAAATCTGAAGAGTTATATTCCCTGGAACTAGATAATATATAATAAAGATATTGAGCTTTTTAAAACATTACTTACCATCTCTCAGTTGCGTCCCTGTTCTTGGACAGAGTGCGCTCAGGGGTGACTCCGTCAAAGGACAGGCAACTGAGGAAAATTATACTGAGAGGTGCCTGGCCCTGGGGAACAGCTGCCCGAGGCCCCGCCTTCTCATTGCACTAGAGAGAAGGATCGGTGCACGCACCGAGGCCAGCGCAACCGACGGTTGCGGGGGCTTGGGGAATTTTTGTTCCTTGCCCGGGTGCACGCGCTCGGGCTTCCCACATTAAACTGACCTTGTGTCACAACCTGACCTCGTGGGGGGGGAGTCAAGTAAATACCGCGTAAATTACTATAAAGTAAAGCTGTGGTTTTTAATCTCAATTCGTGGGAGAATCGAGCTCTTTAAATTAAGTGGCAACAGAAGAATTATCGCTGAACTTTTAAAAGGTAAGCTTAAACATTAATTCAATACTTAAATGCAGCTATCAATTTTGAGTTCTTCTGTAGTTTATTGATGTCTATCGCATCTACTATTTCCTAGCTATTTTGATGATGACCAAACCAAGAGTCCTCCACAGGAGCTAGCTCAAATGTGGCCCGATATAGCTGCTTTTAAGCTAGCTTAAAATTTGGATACATAAGTAAAGTAAGAGTCACTCCCCGTGAACAATGAAAGCAACAATAATGGCTAGTATAATATATTAATATATATTTTTAACCTCGCATAATCTGGCAACCATGAATCTGAGCTCAACGAAAATCATTCCCTGGGCTTAACTTTTCTAGGGCTTTTGAATGAGCTGTGAATCATTGGACCAGTGGGAGCGGAGGAGTTGCTTGGACACACACACGGACACACAAGCACCCACACAGATGCTGTACTTTATATATAATATACTGTTGAGTTTGTGACTGCCAATAATAAATCCTGCTAGGACTGCTAGTCTTTTCAGGAGACATTTGCTGAGAAAACACAACCTTGTCATACTCCCATTTTTTTTGTATTTACTGAAATCATTTTCAATCTGTCTACAGATAGTTTGCTACCAGTATAGGTTTGAATTATTCTAATGTATTTCTCAAATAAAGCTTGCCTAGCAGTTTAAATATTTCTTCGTGCCGTACCTTATCAAACGCTTTTGCATAATCTATAAAACATAAATCAACCAATCTAAGGATTTCCTATTCCAATGTCTTCAACTAAATTGCATTTATTATTACCATACTCTTGATGTTGTCTCTTGGAAAAGATCCTAGTACTATTTTCATCTTAAGCCTAGGGTTCACCATTTTTCTTCCCCCGATATTTCAGGGATCAAACTGCGATTCGATTTCGAGCAATGATGCAAACGTCGGAGGCTTACGGCCACATCATGTTGAAACACTAGTTCCCGTAGGATCACCGAAGTTAAGCAAAGTCGAGTCTGGTCAGTATGGATGGGTGACCGTTTGTGAATACCATGTGCTGTAAGCTTGGATGTGTAGGTGGTGGAATGAATAATGGCTCGGAATTCCAATTCTCATTGGGTTCGTTATATTCACTTACGCACAAATACCCTTTGAAAAAGTCTGTATCCACCAATTCTCCCCACAGTTATAGGTTAATTAGTAAGACTTGTATCACTAAACAATTATTATCTACAAAAAATATTTTTCTGGTTTTAAATAACCTACAAAACATTTATAAGCAGTAAAAAAACCCCAAAACCAAAAAACGAATCAATACAAGGTAACCAAAAAAGTTCTGTCCGTTTTTTGATTAGTCATTGAATGAAGTTGAAATATATACGAAATGCGTGTAGCAATTGTTTTCAAATTTGGACAGCCGGAAGTAGGAACATCAGACGTTATAAAAAACACGCGCACCGTGCCCGGCCATCAGTTATAAGCCGGACAGTTGTAAGAAGGATGGATGTGTTTAGAGATCTTGTTCGGGGCTGTTTGCTTTATGACTTCAAAGTGGGCTTATCAGCAGCTGTATCAGTTCGCCGCATATGTCAAGCGTTTGGGGATAGTGCTGTGGATGAAGGTACTGCAAGTTTCAAAAATTCAAGTCGGGAGATCTGTCTCTCCATGATAAGCCTCGAGGTGGACGACCACAGGTCTTGAATGACAGAGTCCTGAAGATGGCCATTGAAGAGGACAGTAGTCTAACGTGTGGTGAATTTGCAAGACAGTTCAACGTTTCCGATGAAACAGTTAGACTTCACCTGCACCGCCTAGGTAAGATGTACAAACGGAGCAAGTGGGTTCCGCAAACGCTGCTGGAGGTCCACAAGGGACAATGAGTGGCAGCCTGCGTATCGATGCTTTCTCGTCACCGTACCGCATCCTTATTCAATCGAGTGCTTACCAGTGATGAAAAGTGGGTTCTGTACGAAACTCCCAAGCGTTCCAGACATTGGTTGTCTCCCCACACCGCAAGACTGCCTAAGCACCCATGCAAGATTATGCTTTGTGTCTGGTGGGCAGATCGTCAAGTGGTTCATTATGAACTGCTACCAACGGGCCAAACAGTCACTGGAGACCTATACTCGAAGCAATTGAAACGTGTGCAACAGGCATTGCGCCAGAAGGATCCAGCACTGGTGAATCGCAAAAGTGTGCTTTTCCTCCATGACAACGCCAGGCCGCATGTCGCGCAGTGGTCAGGGATACCATACAACAACTTGGGTGGGAGACTTTGTGCCATCCACCTTATTCACCTGACCTTGCCCATCCGATTACCACCTCTTCCACTCCCTGGATAATCATCTTCGTGGGAAATCCTTCACCAATGAAGCAGACTTGCGCAAAGCCCTCACGGACATCTTTGCGTCAAAATCCCCCGAGTTCTACCGGAAGGGCATTGAACAGCTGGAGACACTTTGGCAGAAGGTGCTGGATGCTGATGGCGATTACTTCGAAGACTAAATATAAGTTACACATACTGTGAATCGTTTTCTTTTTTTCCTTTAAAAACGGACAAAACTTTTTTGGTTACCTTGTAAAAAAGCAAAAACCAGAAAATATTTTTAGATTGTAAGAATTTTTTATGGAGAACAATCCTAAAGCAAGATTTTTGGTTAAAAACGTATGAAAGAAAAAGTATAATAATAAAAATCATAATAATAATATTTTGCCACTTGACAACAAACTGAGCAACTGGAAATTAGACCTTTGAAGCCCACCGTAAAATTTCCATGATTATTATTTTTTGTTCTTTTGGACATTAATTTTAACTGAAATGCTTTATTTGAACAGACACAAGGCCAAGTATTTGGAGTATCCGATGGCTTTAGAAGTTTATAAAAGCAGTCATCAAGTTGCCGTTTGGACGATGCATTTGCTCGAAGGACTGGTAAATATTTTCCATGCACAGATCAATTTGAAAATTTTTCAAGAGTTATCGTTCTTGTTATTTTTATTTCCCTGTGTGAAACATGTATGAATAAGAAAGATGAAAGCATTTACGACAGTCACCATAAAACTGGAAATTAATGAAAGATACACTTTGGAATATCGATCAATAATTGCATCATAGACGCACACACACAGACACACACACAAGCGCGAACACAGGCACCAAAGGTTTCTCCTCGCTCTTTTTAAAAGCAGTCCTCATAAATCGTTCAAATAAGTTGCTGTTTTTTTTTTGTTGTTGTTTCTTTTGATTGGACGATGAACATGTCAACTTCAAAGGCGGCAAATGCACAGTTTGAGCAAACAAAATTCTTCGCCGTCGGGGTCTGTTGTCAATCGATCTCAAGTCTCCTTTCCGGACGCAAGACTTGTTCGGTTTTCAAATAATCTTTGGAGAATTTTGACAATTCGTCAAAACCGCATTGATTTAAATAATAAGGGGAGAACTAAAAAAAAAAAAAAAAAGAAAGAGAGAAGGAAATCACGAGGCGTTAAGCTTTTATTTTAATTCTCTCACTCGTTTTGACATTCTTAAAATTAGTGAAGGAATTGGGTTTCAGCGTAAGATAGATAGATAGATAGATAGATAGATAGATAGATAGATAATGAACAGAATGAGATAGATAGATAGATAGATAGATAGATAGATAGATAGATAGATAATGAACAGAATGAGATAGATAGATAGATAGATAGATAGATAGATAGATAGATAGATATAATGAACAGAATGAGATAGATAGATAGATAGATAGATAGATAGATAATGAACAGAATGAGATAGATAGATAGATAGATAGATAGATAGATAGATAGATAATGAACAGAATGAGATAGATAGATAGATAGATAGATAGATAGATAGATAGATAGATAGATAGATAATGAACAGAATGAGATAGATAGATAGATAGATAGATAGATAGATAGATAGATAAAGAAAAAAAGAGGGTTTGTCTTCTCTGGTCTGTCCATTAATCACCCTATGAAAGTTGTGAGCGCAAAAGAAAAGAAAGGATGCGTGAAAGAAAATGAAAAGAGAAATACATGAACAAATTTAGAGTATTTCTCTCCTGTAGCACACACATACATGCACGCACGCACACACACACACACACACACACACACATATATATATATATATATATATATATATATATATATTAGCGGCGGCATTTAAGATAGCTCCTGCGGATGGATCATGATTGAGCTTTCAACACAATAAGTAGGGAGGAGTAGCCTAAAGACTATGCTCCTGATATCTACTTAAATGGGTGGGTGCACATACAGCGCCCAGCAACCTTCATCACACACGTTTCCCTTTTAGATCTCATGTATACAATCGAGCTTGCCTTGGTACCCTAGGTCTCTGACTAGTACGATGTTTCTGACCCAAGGAGGAGTTCTGTTGCCCAGAATTCTAGGCAGACAAGACACATACACTCGGAGTATCGCGTTTGAATCTTTCTTGGGTTATTTTCCCCCTCATTAAGTGTACTGGAGGTAAACATTTGGTGGTGGTGGTGGTGGGGGGAGTTATTCGCATGATAGTTAGGGATCCGAACCTTCGAGTCTTCGAAGGAGGCTATCCTGTCAGAAGATGTATAATATTAGGTCTATTGTACTGCCATTTTGTGAATGGTTTCTGGACTTTGTAGTAGTCTCTGGTGGGGCCACTCCATGCTATGATGATGGGTACTGTTACGCCGGTATCTTCGGGCGAGTCAACTCAGGTTATTTATGTGTACATCTCCAATCAGTGTCTGTTTCAGTGCCTGCTAGTCATCCATCAAACTAACCAAAACAACCATGAAAGCAATAAAATTGAAAACGAACAAGACTAGCGAACTCAACCTCAAAAATAAATAGACCCCAGTTATACCATCTCTTACACCAATGTAAGGGGTCTAACTTTAACCGGAAGTAGAATTCCATCTTCAATCTCAACCTGACCTCCTGTTCCTCTCTGAAATGGGTATCAATGTTTTAATCCCATTTCAAGAGCTCACAATCCGGGGTTACTCACACATTGTAACAAAATACGACCACCTAAATCTCCACGGGCTAGGTGCCTACATCACGTTTTCCTGTGGCAGGGACACAAAAAAGACGTGGAATCTGATCTCCCGCATATGTGTTTCCGCATGGCAATTATCCATAGTACCCCATTTATCTTTGCCCTGTATCGTCCACAAAGACACTTACCATTATGCTATCAGAGAAAAGGAATGTTTTAACGTATTATATACGTGATGTATATAAATGCTAGACCAGCAGCTAAAGTGCTCAATACTTACGAGGAGCGTTAAGTAGCAGCAAAAAATTCCCTTTCTCCATAGTGCTCAGTCGGCGAACGAGAGCATATGGACACCGTCTGTTCCATGCACTCTTCAGGGCCATGTCTGTTGTATTTTGACTCGACTATTCATATATGCTGGTCAGTAGTTCATTATAGGTAGTAAGGTCTATTGTATTATCTTAATGGCTAAATTAAGTAATTAAATAATGAATAAGGTAACAAACAACACTATGAAATAGTTACAAATAATAGTGTTTTATTTTCCTTTCTCCTCACTTTTCCTCAGTAATATCTTCTCATTCCCTTTCCCACTCAGTAACCTCATGCGTCTTAGTGGCTTTAATGCCTTCTTTGGGGTGAAATGATTAAAACGATTGTCAACGTTTCCCCGTATTGTATAAATTTTTAATCTCAAATAGTATTTGATTGACATCAACTTGTCTCTCCAACCGAGAAATTTCAGTTTGAGATATGGAAGACAATTCTGACATTTTACGCAATTTATATTATTTTCTTCATAAACTGAAAAATTCCTTCAGTTGCTTTGTGGTACATTTTTGTTTTTCTTAAAAGCAAAACGAAATACGGTTCGGAAAATTTGATACTCGCACGACATGATTGGTTGATTGATTCATTTTCTACAGCTTATCAACCCATTGTAGGTTATTTAAAGCCAAAAACAAAAACAAAAAATAAAAAAAAAAAATAAGCAGCATAGAAACAAAATCCTAGCATCATGGCACCCGGTGCCATAAGTTAAAATTCTCGCTC